TTTTAAAAAACTGCAAAATATAAATTGCCAAAAATCCATGTAAGAATGCAACAAAAATCAGAAAACGATACAATTTTTTAATTTTTAAAATATTTTATTATTTTTATTTTGTCTGTATGAGTGTATTGCCTGCATGGACGTTAAGTGCACCTGTGTTGTACAGTGCCTGCGAAATCAGAAGAGGGCGTTGGATTCCTCTGGAACTGGAGTTACAGTTTAGCTGCCATGTGGGTGCTGGAAACCAAACGTAGGTGCTCTGCAAGAGCAGACACTACTTTTTTTTTTTTTTGTCTTTTTGAGACAGGGTCTCCCTGTAGCCCCAGCTGTCCTGGAACTCACTACATAGACCAGGCTGCCAGGCTGGCCTTGAACTCACAGGGATCCGCCTGCCTGGCTGGCCTTGAACTCACAGGGATCTGCCTGCCTGGCTGGCCTTGAACTCACAGGGATCCGCCTGCCTGGCTGGCCTTGAACTCACAGGGATCCGCCTGCCTCTGCCTCCGGGTGCTGGGATTAAAGGCGTGCACCACCACGCCTGGCACTGAGCCATCTCTCCAGCCCCGATATAATTTTTTAAAAAGCCTGAATGGTGGGGGATTGTGAGACACATTCAAAAGGCAAATCAGAGGACTTTTCAGTCTTGATAAATTTACAATGTGAGTATCCCTTAACCAAAATGGTCAGAACCAGAAAAGTTTTGAGTTTTCGAGGTTTTCAGATTTTGAAATATTGCAGATTTTATAGTTTAAGTCTCCCTAATTTAAAAATGTAAAGTGCACTCACTTTGATTATAGATGTTCTATCTGTATCTCAAATTTTCAAAATGACTAATAAAAATTACTCTTTCAAGAAGTTACAATGATTAAGGCCAGCCTGGTCTACATAGCGAGTGCCAGGCAAGCCCAGCTGGGGCTACAAGGAGACCCTATCTCAAAAGAAAAAAGTTATAATGATATAAAAGGTGGAAAGAAAGAACTAACTCCACCAAGTTGTCCTCTGACCTGCACACGCAGACCCTGGCAAAGGAGCACGTGCACACTTACACATAGAAACACAAGATAAATAAATGTAAAAAGTGCTTTAAGGAACTCCAGTTACAGGCTGGAGAGATGACTCAGTGGCTACTCTTACAGAGGACATGGGTTCCATTTCCTGCCCCCACACAGTAGCTTACAACTACCTGTAACTCTAGTTCCAAGGAACCCAGTGCCCTCTGTGGGTATTGCATGCACATGGTGCACTTACATACATGCAGACAAAACATTCATATACATAAAATAAAAATAAATAAAATACAACAAAAAGTTTTAAAATTCTGGCTAATGAAATCTGCACTGAAATATTTCAGAATAGGTGTGAAATATGTGCAGCACTGTAGAATGAATAAGAAACTAGATGGATTAATGGGTGGAGGGAGGGATGGGTAGAAAGAAGCAATAAAACCAGCAGAGGAAAATGAGTGTGTGGCTGTGGCTGGTGGTACATGGATGATCATTACAAAATTCCTCCCGATTTTCCATGTTTGAAATATTTCATAACAAATGTTACCCAAGAAGAGAACACTTTAGATCATGAAGAATGTGGTTCTTGAGGGGAAACCTCAATTGACATCTCAATTCTCACCAACTTACCAATGAATTCATTATAAGTCCAATCTAAACACCATCAGAATGGTTCAAGGAACTAGGACATTCCTTAACAGAATATGACATGAAAATCCCAAGAATTCTTTATAAACAAGGAAAATTTTAATTTCCATCTGGGACCAGGCACAATAGCTCAGTGGGTCAAGGCACTTGCCACCAATCTGACAATCTGAGTTCCTTCGCTGGGACCCACATGATGGAGAGAACAGACTCCTGCAAGTTGTCCTCTGACCTCCACCCACACGCACGCACACACACACACACACACACACACACACACACACACAATGTAATAAAAATTCATTTCTGGGCTGGGTGTGGTGGCGCACGCCTTTAATCCCAGCACTTGGGAGGCAGAGGCAGGCAGATCTTTGTGAGTTGGAGGCCAGCCTGGTCTACATAGTGAGTGCCGGGTCAGTTGGGGCTACAGGGAGATCCTATCTCCAAAAGACCAAAAAAAAAAAAAAAAAATCATTTCCATTTAACCAAGAAATTAGATAAATACTTTTAACAATCTTTAAGAAACAACAGAAATGGAAAATGGACATAGAATAGAGAGAGGCAAGTAAGAAAGGGAAGAAATTAGTGCCAGGAAGCACACAACCACAATCGGCCTCAGAGCCCAGGAATCTAAGCAGAGAGACACCACCACCATTCATCCCTCAGCATAGAAAAAACTGAACAGATGTGGAAATCCATAAAGGAAGATAAACATAGATGTGTCTGCTTTGTTAGAAGTGGGTCTGGGGTCTCAAGAAAATGGCCACACTATTCAAAGTACTTCAGCAAGGGACAAAGTTTTACTGCTGCAGAAGGGTACAAAGCTGCTCTAAATCCAGCAGGCAAGCTTGCCCAGCAGGGGTTCTCACTGGGTTTTAAGACCTAACACAGAGGTCTGTGCCTCTCGCTGAGTGAAGCTGAGCTTGGCCTCGCACTCTCTAAGTGGTTGGCTAGAAAACGGCACAGCTGATAAGCCAAATGCAGCTACTGACAGCAGGATGCCACCTTGAGCACAAACTTTAACCTTGGAAAAATCCTGACTGGGGGAGGGAGCTTTACTAGGTGGTATTATAAATGCCTTTGAAGGTGGAACTTTGTCTCATCTAACCCTTGATAGAAAAGTCAATACATCTCATTTATATTTTCTACAGTGTATACTAGTTAAGGTCATTGGCTGTGAACAGAGATCACCACTTGGTGACCTGAGTATAGTTGCCCCTCCTTAGCCACTGGAAATGTGTCCCACAGCTCCTGGGAGACTCAAGAAACTGCAGATAGCACTATGTATGCTGGGTTTTTAACCTTCACCTATATCCTGTGATAATGTTTAATTTATAAATTAGGCACAATAAAAGATAATTAACAATAAATTATAAAATAGAACAATTATAGCAACACACTATAGTGAAAGTCAAGTGAATGAGGTCTCTCATCTTAGAACTTTGCACTTACACCTTATCACTTAAACACTTTACAGCTTCTCTCTGGCCTATTCCAACTGCCCCTAACAGTGCCCTTGTGCTCTGGGGCCACTATTGGTAAAATATAGGTTACTTTAACACAGTACTGTGACAATGCTACAGTGGATCTGATAACCAAGATGACCATGTAACTAGCAGAAAGGTAGCATATACAGTGTGGATACAGTAGACAGAAGGATGATTCCCATCCTAGATGAGAGGGGGAGGCAGCACTAGATTTTACCTCATTACTCAGAATGAGGTATAATTTAAAATTACAAACTATAGATTTCTGGAATTTTCCATTTCTTATTTCAGACTGAAGTTGGCCAAGAGTAATCTTGAAAAGTGAAGCTCTGCTGAGGACTATTATGTAAAAAGGTGAATTGCTTTGCTCTCAGTATCCACCCCAAAGAAGTTTGTCCTGGAGTTGTGGGGGTGGGGGGACAGCAGAGAGAAACCACTGAAGCACTGTGGGTTATCACAGAGGACATTCCCAGAACTTAAGGAAGTTGTGTGCTCACTGTACAAGTCCAGAAAGGGTGAAGTCCAGCTACAGTGACATGTAAAGCTATCTCAGAATAGCTAACATGTCAGGTATAACTTGCATATAACAGAGTAAAAGGAAGTGAAGAGACATACTTCTATAGGTATGTTCCCATGCTAAGTGCAGCCTAAAGAAACCTAGTCTGGTCCATGGTATGACGAGGAAATAATGGCTGGGCAAGACCCAGAGAGATAGAACTTTCATTGAACTGCAACTTCCTAAACTATTTATTGATTTCATTCATAGTTTAAAACAAGAAGGAAATCAGGAGTGTGAAATAATTATAATTACATAACTTTATAACCTTATATAAATATATGAAATAAGAAATCAGAGACCTCGGAGTGCAGTCCACATAGAGAGAGCTTCCAGCTTTTGTTCTGAAGTCTGAAAGGGAAGCAGCAGCTCTCCAGCAGGGCTGGGTAGAAAACAACTCCCTCACTGCTCGTCACAAACAGATGATGAAAAGCAATTCTGCACATACACAGACATTGCACAGGACCTCCAAACAAGGCTGGGCTGCTGTGGAGTGGTGCTGTGCCGAAACAAAAGGCCCAAATCCAAGGCCAGAATCCATCAGCGGCTCCCTAAGGATCCCATGAGCCTCAGGCTCCTCCTTAAGGTGGGCTTGAGAACCCACTACAGAGGGTGTCCTGAGGCTCAGTGGGCACATTTATAAATTGCAGGGGCAGGGGGTAGGGATGCTCAGTGGCAGGGCTATTGCAGAGAATGCACAAGAACCTGGGTTCACTCTTTAATGCCAGAAAAAAATATAAACAGAAGATTGGTGGCACTGGACTGCAGAAGGAGAAGGACATCCATGTCTGTAGACATTCCTGGGTAGCAGGGCCCCTCCTGCAGCCCGAGAATCTGGCAAGCATGCTTATATAACCCACTGGGTTGCCCCTATGAGATCATGATCCATGAAAACAGTTAACATTTATTTTTATGATGTTACTTTTTTACGTTAAACATCAACAGTGTTAAATGTATGTCCATTCTCGAGGTCCCAGCCAGCTTCCAGAAAGCTCAGGAAAGATACCACTTCATAGAATTTAAAACTTGGATTCTGGGGTGGAGAGATGGCTCAGAGGTTAAGAGCACCGGATGCTCCTGCAGAGGACCCAGGTTCAGTTCCTAGCACTCACGTGGTGGCTAACAATCATCTGTAATTCCATTTCCTTGGGGTCCAACACCCTCTTCTGGTCTCTGCACTAGATGGGTGCACTTACATGCAGGCAAAACACTCATATACATAAAATTAAATAAATAAATAAATAAATAACCCTGGATTCTTACATAAGAGAAACCCTCAAAATATGGGGTTTGAGACAAACAGATACTTACTGAAAGTTGTGGTTTGGGCTGTGTGTTGGACCTAAAAAGATGAAACAAGAGATCAAATTATTACTATGGGAGGATCTGGAAGCTAGGCTAGTGGTAAACACAGATAGTCATTGGGTCTGTCTGTGGCCAGTTGTCCTCAGGACTCTGCTCCCACTCACGAGGACATGCCGGTGATACAAGAAACCCCAGAAACAGAGGTGTTTTGTGATCATGAGCATGTGTTGGCATGTTTCCTGTCCCTCACGTCTCATCTAAACTTTATACTCAAAACCTGTTTTACTCATTACAGTTGGCGCAGTGTGAGCTCTGATGACATGTCTGAGGCATTCACTGCCTGGGATCTTCCCTTACTGGGACAAAGGGGGCACCTTCCTTCTGCCGTTCTCTCCTTTCACTCCGCAACAAGTACAGAATCACAGCACTGTCATCACATCCTGTTTCTCCTGCGCAGTGGGGCCAGCGCTGCACGTGAAAATGCGTGCCTTTAGTAAAAAACCATGGCAGAGGCTGAACAAGTGAAGCCAGGTCAGCGTAGCATAGCCCTGCGCAGTCCTCGCCCTTCCCCTCACCCCAGCCCCCACTGTCTGCAGAATGGCCATCCTCCCTGGGGACCTGGACCCCTGCGGTGTGGCAATCCTCCCCCAGGGACGTGGCCTCCTGCGGTGTAACCTTCCTCCCCCGGGACCTGGCCTCCTGCATCGCCGCCTTGCTGCCCGGGACCTGGCCTCCTGCATCGCCGCCTTGCTGCCCGTGTTCCAGCTCTCTTTGTGTGTCTGGGATGTTCTTCTGTGGTCTGGGTTTCTAGATCGCTCCATCTATGTCTGTTTTCCTTTATTACTAACTAGTAAGCTGGTGAAGGAGCTCTTGTGCTCCATGGGAGAGGCCCTGAGGGTGGTTTCTGTATTTCTGCTGACCTGTGCATTCTCCTTTCCAAATACCAAATGTGTCCTTCACTCTGCAGGGAAGGAGAGAGACTGTGAAGGTCTCTCCTACCTGCTAGCACTGCGCCTCTGCTGTCCCCACTCACCAAGCCGCACATACAGGACTCCGGTGGCAGTGATGGTCTTCACCCCGTTGGTGGCCACGCACTGGTAGTAGCCGGTGTCTGTCGTGTCCAGGTCTTGGATCCGCAGCCGAGAGCCGTATTCTGTTTTCCGGATGATGACCCTTCGTGGTTCTTGCACGACTGGGGCGTCGTTCTTCAGCCACCTCACGTTGGGGGGTGGGTTTCCTGCCACCCTGCAGTGCAGAATTGCAGTCTGGCCCTGGACAATGGTGATATTGTTGACTGGCTCCAGAAAATTCAGAAAATAACCTGCCAAGGGGTGGAGTCACGGAAAGGAAACATCAGCATGGGGGGAGGAAGGATCAGCTCCTGCATGGCCACTGTGAGGGGAGGTGCCACCTTTCATGTGCATGCAGCACATTCTAGAACACTGGAGCCAGTTTCTATGAGCCTTGGCTCCTGGGGAAAAACACAGGGTTGGGTTTGAAAGCCTCTGGTCACACTTTGTCAGGCAACTTGTACAGAACAGTTTTGTGCATGTTTCTGGTTTTGGTGTTATGTTTTACTCTGTTTTTCTGACAGTGTCATATTCTGTAGCCTGAGCTGACCTGGAACTCACTATAGAGTTCAGGCTAGTCTCCACCTTACAGCAATCCTCCTGCCTCGGTCTCCCATGTGCTGGGCTACAGACATGAGTCACCATGACCCACAAGTGTTTCTATTTTAAAACACCTGATTGAATACATAGATTTTGGCACCTATGCACACTGGAAAGCCCTTCCACACTATGCCTGGGGGCCCTTTTGTCTTTTTGTTTCTTTGAGACAGTGTTTCATATATCCCAGGTTAGCCCTGAATTTCTGAATCTCCTCTCTAAACTCCTCTGAGTACTGGGATCACAGGTATGTGCTAACTGGCCTGGCTGGGGACACTTTTAGGCACAAAAAACACTAACAAAACCAAAAAACCATAATACTAAGTAGGCCCACAGTGTCACTCTTTAGAAGGTGTCCCCTGGCTGCCCCTGCAGAAGGAACTCTATACATTCCTCTCTTTCTATTGGCCCGTTACTATATCCACATCCCCTCTGTTCTAGCAGGATGAGTTGAGAATAACAGCTATTACTTTGGGGGCATTTCTTCCAACCATAGCTCTTTTTGTCTCCTGAATCAACCTAGTAGGTTCCTTGTAAACAACAGGGCTTTAATGGTGAAAGACCTGAACATGCGGGCACTTGTCAGGGCAGCCTTCTGGATGGCACTGTGAAGTACTACTGTCCGGGTCTCTATTTCAGACTTTATCCACTTAGAAGAGACATATAATTTTCTACACCGAGATCTCCATATTTACCTTTCAAGTAGATCACTAGCCATTCTGTAATTTTCCTTACTCCTATACATCAGTTTTATTTCTAGTCTGTTTTCTTTAAATGTTTAGTGGTTTAGAAGAAAACTATAAGATAGCAATCTTCTATGAAATGTACTCATTCCTATGATCACAATAAAAAATGACTAGAAACTTCATGGTGGAAAACAACCCAACTTTGTTATCGCATATGTAGGAAGATCAGAAACCTGAAAGTCAAGATGCAGGCAGGGCTGCTTGCTTCGGGAGGCTGTGAGTGCAAGCTGCCTTCTTTCTTGCTGTCTGTTTCCCTCAAGCCAGCGATGTCTCTCACTGCTTGGCTTAAGGACCTTTCTTAAACCTTTGTCTCCATCATTACGTCTCCCTATTATGGATTCCGATCCTTCACCCTCTGTTTTGCAAGGGCCTCTGGGCTATACTGAGCTACCTGTAAATTCAGGTTATTGCCCCATCTATAATCCTTACTCACACCTACAAAGTCCCTCTACGGTGCAAGGTGACACTTCCATGGACCTAGAAGTTGGGACAGGGTCAGCTTTGAGGGCGCCACAACTCTTCCTACCATATCTGCTTTTATCTCGCCACGTAAGTGCTGTCTGTCCTACTAATAGCAATAGCTTCCGGACTGTAGTATTGGATTTTCTACTTAGCTATTACCTCCAAATAACAAGAGCTTTCTGCTTGTCAATGTACACCTCTCCTAACTCTTTTGATTAATCGCTTTGTTCAATGTTCTGTTTGATTTTTAAATTTTTGAAGTGCTGAACAGCATAATACAAACCCCAAAAACAAAAGAAAAATTTTATGGTTATATTTTTCCACAGAACACTGGAAATATCTGGAATTCAAGTAAGACCCACTGGTCCCTTCTTCTCCCTCCACAGAACGACTACCCATCCTTCTAGCTTGTATTGTTTTATAGTTTCAGGAACTCTCTTGACAGGTTGCCTTCACTAGTTGCCTGCTTTCATTCAAAGTCCTCTGTGTTAACAGTATTCATTTAATTACTGTGTAACAGTTCAGTATATAAACAAATCATGGTTTTGTTACTTGTTTCCCAGTGAAGGGGCAGTGAGCTATTTCCGCCTTTTGGCTTAGAAGGGTTTACTGAGCATCTGTGTGCACTTCTGGTCCTGCCTGTGTCCACAAGTCCCTCAAAAGTAAGTACTCACTGGTGTGGAGGAGGTAAGTCCTGAGAGTGGTCACTATGGAAGTCCACTGATGTGTACTCACTAATGTTTGAGTTAAAGCACTCCCCCACCACTTCAACAGCACTTTGGGGACTTTCAAATGTTCACCAATCTGATGCACACAAAGTAGTGTCATACAATTGTCTGTAGTTAGTGGTTCCAGAAGTGCTGGTGAACTCCAGCATCTTCCAGAATGTTTATTGGCTAGTGAGCTGCTTTTCTGTAAGTGCCTGTTCACTCTCTTTTGTAATTCTTTTTCTAACCTCAGCAGCTAATTGCATTCCTATTAACAACTTATGTGAAGGCTGGAAGTTTGGGCCAACAGTTAAGAGTCCCTGCTGCTCTCGAACAGGACCTGAGTTGATCTACACCCATGGTGGGTTGCTCACAACCACCTGTAATTCAAAATTCAAGGGATCTGACACCCTCTTCTAGCCTCCTGGGACTACATGCACATACATACACACTTATACACATAAATAAAAATAAAACAAATCTTTAAAATATAGCTTAGGTATTAAACATGAAATTTCTCTGCAAGTACTTTAGCTCTCCAATAAATAACTTTAATCTTCATGTTTGGTCAGACACAGTGGCTTTTAATTCATCTTATGATATTTTTTCTTTTACCTACAAGTTACTAAAGGTGTACCTTTTTATTTTTATTTATTTTATTTTATTTTTTTGTTATGGTCTTTTTGAGACAGGGCCTCCCTGCAGCCCCAGCTAGCCTTGAACTCTCCGAGATCTGCCTGCCTCTGCCTCCTGAGTACTGGGATTAAAGGAGTGCACCACCACGCCTAGCATAAGGTGTGCTTTTATTACATGTATTGATTTATTTGTACACATACACATACACACACACGTCACAGCATGCATGTGGAGGTCAGAGAATAACTTGTGGGTATTCACTCTTTCCTTTTTACATCATGAGGGTTCCAGCAATTGAATGTAGGTCACTGGACTTAGCAGCAAGTGCCTCTACCCACTGAGCCATCTTACCTGCCCTAAAGTTGCGCGCACACACACACACACACATACACACCACAAAGCAATCAATCAGTCAATCAATCAATGAAACTTAGAAGTTCAAAAACCATGTTTTATGATGATGACTCTTTGAGATAACCAAGAATCACACTGCAGCCCAATCTAGAGTCAGGTCCGATAGTCTGTGTTTGCTAGGTAAAGTGCTTTCTCTGCCTGCCACAGAGGTTTATATGTGCTCATTAAACCAAGCTTGTGTGTTTTGTGGGGGTGCTTTTTAAATGTTTTTCAATAGTCAATGATGTATTAGTTCATTAATCTCCATTTGCCAAATCTCTATGAGCAATTCTGCTGACTTCTGTTTAACTCTTGGAAACCATGAGGCTGGAGGCTTCAGGTCTACTCTATTTGCCTAAAAGACCACTTGTCTAATACTATCAAAGGTACCTCAGGGTACTTTGGGTTAAAATAACTCTCATCTGATTAATATTTTACCATTTAAATTATTCTGTACTGCACACGAATTATGTAAAAGGTATATAATTTTACATATCAATTTACGGGTCTGTTTAATCTATGAATTTTAAATTAGTTTTAATGTTTTCACTTTCCTCTTAATATTCTTTTACTTCTATATAATGGATATTTTAAATCCTCCATTTTTCTTCTTCAACAGTTAAAGTTTCATGAAGTCCCTTAACTACTGTTTATAGGCATCAAGCCTCATCCAACAACACTTCCCAAGTACAAGGACCTTTCAATGCTGAGACACATACGCTCCCTCTCTCCCTTCCCTCCTGCTCTTCTTCCTCTCTCATCCTCCCTCCTAGCTCTTGCTCACGTGGAGAGATGCCTTGAGCTGCTGCTTCTCAGTTTCTCATCACACTCTGGTTTTAGTCAGTCAGTAATGATTATTACTGTTGATTTTTACTGATAGAGTTCCTTGAGATCTGCCAAGTTCTCACAAATTCTTTCCTTACGAACACATCTTGACTTCCTTCCTTTTTCCTAGGTTCAACTGAACTTGGCCAGAATCACATTTGTATCTTGGGTAGCAGACTGAGGTTGTGATCATTCATTTTTAGTGTAAAAATATGTTACTGTCACCTTGAAGAACAGTTTAGCTGGTATGGAATTCTAAACGGGTGGTGATGCTGTTTTCCTCTGCCTTTCCTGGGAACTGTTGAAAATTCTGCCAGTGTGCTGGATAGCTTTAGTGTCAACGTGACACACCTGGGTTGAGGGAGCCTCAATTGGGGAATTGCCTCTTTTGGACTGGCCTGTGGCCATGTCTGTGGGGCATCTTCTTGATTGTTGTGTGATATAGGAGGGCCCAGCCCACTGTGGGTGGTGCCACCCCTGGGCAGGTGGGCCTGTGTTGCATAAGAAAGCAGGCTGAGCAGGGGCCAGGGGAGCAAGCCAGTAAGCAGCATTCCTCCATGGCCTGTGCTCCAGCTCCTGCTTCCAGGTTCCTGCCCTGAGTTCCTACCTTGGGCTCCCTGGTGAACTGCGACTTGGGAAATGTAAGATAAATAAACCCTTTCCTCCCCAAGTTGGTATTGGTCAGAGTGTTTTGTCACAGCAATGAAGAACAAACTAGGACAGCCAGTTACTATTCTTTGCAGGCAACCTTAATTTATTAATATTGTTCCTTTGTCTTTGACATTCTAAGAATCTGCTGTTAGCCACACGATTACTTTTACTGTAGCCTCTTCAGACTTTAGTACCCTTCTTTAATTCTGAAAACTCATGCTTTCATAAATGTAG